AACCCCACGTGCACCTTCGTGTGACTACGGACTCTAGATTTTTTTATACAAAATTATCTGCATCCTTTATAGTGTTATCACAAAAAGAAATCCAACTTCCATATTAGATAAGTTTATCTAATATGGAATTAAATTCTACCACAGTGCCTAAGTTCTACACTTACATTAATAGAAATCTAACTTTTTTATAAACTGGGATGGTGAACAATCGAGATTAATTCAACTAATACGTCAACATAGCAATTATCTGTCCAAATAGCATTAGATAAGTCTGTCAATGGAATTATGAGGGTTCATTGAGTAAAGTGGTTAGGACACAGGTTACACACACAGTCATCGCCCTCTCCCAGTGGTTATGATGACTGAAAAACGATTCAACTGAATTTGAGATTTTCCCGTCGATTGATTGGACCGAAGTGCTCGGTCTCAGGTTGACATGTCGGCTTCTTGTGCAGATGCTTCGACGATGTCTGGGCATTTAATTGGAATTTAATTTGTGGATGGTGACTAGCAGTGGAATCCAGGATGCGCATTTCGTCCTATTTGGGACTCGTCATCTGGATGTACCTGCATTTTCCAGTGAGTGATGATGTTCCCACCGAGGCTCGAACCCAGTGCCCGCTTTGGCGTTTGAAACTAAGGGCAGTGGGTTCGAGCCTCGGTGGGAACATCATCACTCACTGGGAAATGCAGGTACATCCAGATGACGAGTCCCAAATAGGACGAAATGCGCGTTGTCCTGGATTCCACTGCTAGTCACCATCCACAAAATGAAAAACGATTCATTTCGAAAGAAACTAGGAGTGGTCAGATCGAAACAAGTGAATCATCCATAAAGATAATGAATGTAGATGTTAGAAATCGGGTGGCCGACAACCCAGTGCCTAATGAAACAAACCACAGCTCCAAGACAACCCTCTTCAAAAATACACAGATGTATAACTTTTCGAAGACATATTTCTGTCAAAACCAACAGATATGTTATCACAGAATAGGATCTAGCATTACTCAGTACAAGTCTACGCACATGTCCTTAATGGATGCTGCTGCTGCTGGATTCAACATAGAACTTGGCACCGAAGTGCAGCAGTTCGAGTTGCCACGTTCCAAATAGCACATAGAGGTAGACAGGAAAAGGAGAGAATAGAATCAATAGAGTTTAGATAAGTATAAGATTGAAACAGAATGAGTAATGGTAGAAAGGAATATGAAGGTTAAAGAGACTGAATACATCTGCGCCATTGACAACGATTTTGAGCCATGTCACCTAATGTCTCCAGCCATTGATTTTTAGAGTCCCGAGGGCGGCCCCAACCCGGAAGTCTGCATCTCCCTACCTGACTCAGTTTAACTGTCAGGGATTTCATGGATTGATGCCATGTTTTTGTTTGGCCACCGCTTACTCTTTTCCAACCTGCACCTATATCAGCTAGTAGTGCCCGTCGGGGGAGACGATGGTCAGGCATGCGCAGCACGTGGCCTAACCATCTCAATCTATGTAACTTCATAGCCTCTTCGAGTGATTTTCCCTCTTTGCCCAACACTCTACGCCTGACGTCAACATTACTTACCTTATTATACCACCTAACGCGAGAAAGAGATCGTAAACATCTGTGGTCAAAAACAGACAATCTCTTCATGTCTTCCGCTCTCAATGGCCACGTCTCACAGCCATAGAGAAGGACGGAGCGAACTGATGAGCAGTATACACGTCCCTTGGTTGATAGCCGGATGTCACGCCTACGCCAGAGACGGTGTAAGTTAGCGAAAGCAGCCCGAGCTTTCTGGATCCGTGCTGAGATTTCGTCACCAATCAATCCGTTGGTGCTGATACAACTTCCCAAATAGGTGAAGTGGTCAACATGTTCTATTACTTCACTCCCTATCACTAAGCTAGGAGTTGACGTAGTCCAGTCCTGTAGCAGCATCTTACATTTCACAGGAGCGAATCGCATGCCAAACATACGAAGATTGCTGCTCAAGGTGTTCAGAAGACTCTGCATTTTGTCAGCGTCCTCCCCTAACAGGACTATGTCGTCTGCGTATTCTAAGTCTATAAGACTATTCCCTGGTAACAAGTCGATTCTTAAGTCATTAAGTTCAGTTAAGGATACTTCCATTAGCATATCTATGATGAAGTTAAACAGAAAAGGGGAAAGTGGACATCCTTGACGGACACCACTAGTTGTTATCAATTCAGATGACAATTCCCCATAAGCCCTTACACAGCTACGTGAGTTTGAGTAGAGTGCCTTGATTAGTGCAATGTACTTTCTTGGCACTCCCTTCATAGTCAAACATTGCCATAGAACCTCTCGATCCACGGAGTCGAAGGACGCCTTCAAGTCAAGAAATATGGCAATTGTTGGACGCCTAAAAGTGTGTCTATGTTCTAGGATCTGTCGGAGAGTGAAGATATGATCTATGCACCCCCTACCTGTCCTAAATCCCGCTTGATTTTCCCTGGTTTGTTCCTCCCGAGTTCAGCTTAGTCTGTTCATGATTACTGAGCCTAGGATTTTAGAGACTATGTTCGTTAAGCTGATCCCCCTATGATTATCACATGACGACTTGTCTCCCTTCTTGAAAATCGGTATAATAAGTGACTTACCCCAGTCTGATGGAACCGTCTCTGATTCCCGGACGTTACCTAGTACCTTAGTTAAACTATATACTAGTATGTCACCCCCATATTTAAACACCTCCGGAATAATTCCGTCGGGTCCTGCCGCTTTGCCTCGTTTCAAATTACAGATTCCTTTGGTGACCTCACTTACAGACGGCGGGCCAGTGTCTATGTCCCATTCGGGTGTGTGCTGGATGGCGGGGAGGCTCAGTGTGGCTGTAGGCAAGTTAAACTGTTCCTCGAAGTGTTCTTTCCACCGTTCGAGGCGTCTATCCTGAGAGCTAATTAAGCAGCCATTTTTCTCACAAATAGTCTCACTTATGATTTGCCTTCTCCCACCCGTTTCCCTGATGAGTCTAAAGAGTTGCCTAGTGTTGCCTATCGCCGATGCTTTTTCCATCTCTTTCGCCTTTGTCAACCACCACTGTTCACGGTCCTTGCGGAGACTTTTCGTAAGTTTCCTTTTGTGCAGCTTTCGCTCCTCATTAAATTCGGAGCTCGCCGGAATAAGTCTTCTAGCATCTATCAGTTCGGATGAGGCAGTCGAAATCCAATGGTTTTTACTCACCTTTGGATTTACCTTATTCACAGCTTTTACAGCTGTATCTATGGCTGATTGAATATTCTTCCAGGCTTCTTCAGGGTGAGCGCAGCTGTCGAACTCAGATATGTGTTTAGCTAGTTCTTCCTCGAATAGGGACTTAGTTTCCAGATCGAGCTGGGGACGTGATGGGTTTACCGCCAGCTGTTTCCTACGTCCGTTCAGTCGTAAGCACACACGAGCGCGGACCAGTGCGTGATCGGTATCTACACACGTGTTCCAGAAGGATCGGCAATCTCCTACCGACCCACGCCAACGATGGCTTATTGCTATGTGGTCTATTTGTGTCCAGCGTTGGTTTGATGATGGAGGTCACCAGGTCAAACAGTGTCTCTCCTTGTGTTTGAAGTTAGTGCTTACAAGAAACAAGTGATTATCTGAACAGAACTGTAGGAGACGGTCACCGTTGTCGGTTCGCTGGCACGAGATTCCGTATGTGCCACCGACATTCTTCTCAGATTGACACAATTTCCCCACTTGAGCATTAAAGTCACCAGCTAAAACGACTATACCTGAGCGTTTAGCCTTTCGCAGCAAACTAGACAGCTTTTGGTAGAACTCATCCTTCGTTTCATCCGAACTGCAGTCAGTGGGGGCGTAGGCGGAGATTACGAAAAGGCATCGGCGAGTAGTGCAGTCCTTTCTCCTTTTCACTGATCCGTTCAGACGGACAGCACACATTCGGCTATCTACCGGGATCCAGTCAAGTAGTGTCTTTTCTGCCCTAGTACTCAGAGCTATCCCAACACCAGCTAATCCTCGTGAGCTAGCCGTCTCATCTCCTGACACCCTCAAGGTGAATTTTGCATATTCATCCTGTTGGCCAGGTGGGGTTAGGTGAATAACCACACTTGGGTCTTGTATGCGTGTTTCTGAAACACAACATATATCAATGGCTCGGGATGCCAGAGTCTTGGCTAGTGATGCCTGTTGTCCTATTTGGCAAAGTGTCCTAACATTAAATGCCCCTATATGAAATTGGTGACGTGGCTTTAGGAGACTATCGATGGTGGCTTTTTGGCTTCCGTCGTTTTCAGTGCACACAGAGTGAAGAGGAAGTGAAGAGCCATTAAGTAGAGGAGTTGCATTAGTAGAAGGAAGGTAAGATAATAGAGATGAAGATGAAGACAAAGGTGAGTGAGGAATAGAGAGGTTTCGTGTGCTCTTCGGGTTGTGAGGGCGATTGTTACTTCCCGGCTGCCCACACCGTGGAAGTTGGTTGCGTGACCGCAGAGCCCAGGGGACAACTGCTTGAGGCCGGTCACACACGGCCTGTTTTTGTTTGTTGTTTTTCATTTGGTGTGTCTCAGTAGCGTATTTATCACTTCTGCCCTGTGACACGGCAGCAGAAAGCGCGGTCGTTGTTAATCCGGGCCCCGACCGATCCGGCATGATATTTTGTGATTTGTTTGAAGTCATAGGAATGGGTTGGATAACTGCTTTTAGTCTAACCGCTATCCAAACAACCTTCCTGGCATGGTAGGACCTGCAGGAACATGAGTTCCAGCCAGTATAGCTTGTTGGGTCATTGCGGTGTTCAAGCCCGACCACCACGTCAAGGTAGCAGCTTTCGGTCGGGCCTGGATGCATGTTCAAAATGAAAAGCAATAAATATCTAGTACTATTTTAAGGGTAATGGCCGCTTACAGAATAACGAATCTCCAAGTCAACTAATTCATCACAAAATAGGCAACTTAAACCTACACATCAGTCGACTATACCACTTAAGAAATCGAAAATGTGTCAGTGGGACAGTAAAAAGATATAACTCACTGATCATCGTTAGTTAGCTGACATTTTCTTACATCTGGGATACACGTGACACCTTGTTTTTTAAACTGATAGTCACCAAATGATCGACTGACTTCTAAAATACTGTTTACACGACCATTTTGAACGGAGGCTCCAGTAGCTTGTATACGCTGACGTTCTTCATAATCCATAGGATTATGATCTTTTGTTAAACAAATTGCACTCAATTTTGTGTTTTTCACAGGACATTTATCAGTGTTATTTACACTACCATTAGAATGATTGGATTCAGATGGTGAAGGTGTTTCAACAAATCTAGCTAAAACCACCTAGAAAGCAAAGTATTAGTGAAATAAAACAGTAAAAAGTACACAATTTGAACGCAGATACAGCAAAATTCAAAATTACTAACAGTGAATTCACGTTGGATAAGGTCAAGACTACACTGAAATGGTCAAATGCTTGCCTGCAACACTAGCAACTAGAAACCCACAAGATCAGGATAGCAACAGTTTTAAACCTAAACTTGTGTGCTAATGATTATTTTCAAAAGGCATTACAAGAAATGGAGCCAAAGTAAATTACACTTTTTTTAACCTTGTAACAAGCATATTGACGGGGGCAACTTTTCGTATATGACTTCATGAATGTGTACGTGTTTGTAAGGGGGTGTAATGCGCATTATTTTCTAGTCTATTAGCAATAAATACAGCTTATGCTGAAGTAAATTTACATAGAAACGCTGACTAACAAGAAAAACAGACCTCTATTTATTGTCCAGAAATGAGTTCGTTTCTTACGGCTTCTACAACGACGTTTTTTGGTATGTGTTAATAAGCTTATATATGTAGGGTTATGAAATAGCACTTCAGTCATGAATGCAGTAAACGAATATCAAAAGAAAATTATAACAATGATTCCAATAAATGAAATAATTTAACAATTGTAGGTTAAAGTATGAATCACCTTTGAGTCACCTAGATTTGCAATGTAAAGTGTATTATTCACTAATAAAACAGTTGCCGCTGTACTACCATCTCTCCAATGAGGGCGCCTGAAAAAATAGAAAGAGGCGCAAAAAAAGATGAATGAAACATAATGGTTGGTTTCCTACTGCTGACACGCCTCTCTTAAAAACTCTTCATCTGTTTTCTTATACGAATCGTATAACACACGCTTTATATCCTTTTCTACTTGTTGTATCCCACCTGAAGAGGAAAGAAGATGAAAGATAAACCAGTAGGTAATATATTTGAAATTTATTCTACATTTAATAAGCATAACTCAAAAAAAAAGCAACCTAATAAAACCTCTTAAAACTACCTACCGACTAAAATGCTCTAATATCACGACATACATTTGCATAAAAAAAATAATTGACGTAGAAGTGGTTTTGTTTAGAATGGTAAAAATAATTATAAAACTATGCATTTATTTAAACACAACTTCGGTACCAATGCCAACCATCTATTTCAGGCTGGGCAACTGAATAGTATCACCAGCCCTCACACAGTAATTGTGTCTGGAACATGCAGGAACTTTTCTGGGAACTGAGAAAACCATGTGAACAGCAAGAAATGAGTTACACAAAATATTACAACAACAGTAGGAAGAAATATATGAAGGAAAGTACCCAGAGATAAACAGGACGAAACAAGTAAGCGTATTTATCAGGGACATTCCAAAGAGCGGTCATTACTTTCTATCATTTTCGGTAGTATAGGTAACAAGAAATCTGCTGCACAATGACTATAGATCGTGATTCTGAGTCTTACTTGATAAAATCCAGAGCGATTAGACCGCCGACTTCTCACAACCCGCGAAGTTTCCTGATGTATATAAGATATGCCGACCTAATATAACTATCCTTCATCCCACGGTGCCACATTATGTCCTGACCACTTCCACATTCTTCGACCAGTATTAGGACTAGCAAACAGTTAACAGTATGGTGACCACTGTGCTGACACAACGACCAACAGCTGATTAAGTCTGATTTAAACAGTCTGCCTGTTACCACCCAGTGAGGTAATATTGTCTGCATAATCTGCCTAGATAGCAGATTTACATCACTACGTATATCCCTTTAGAGTTGTTTTCAGAACGTTAGGGCGAAGAAAGAGTCAGAAAGAAATAGCGAAATCAAGCAGTTCTATCTAACCCTAATTTTTATAGAAGAAGATGATAGGTGATTGCATACTTTCAGTCTAACTGATGTTTTTGTATAGTCATTACCATCTACCAGTGAACACAGAGATACTTCTAACACAACCCAAAATAATTTCATTTAATGGGTTTAAGGTAACCGAAATATCAAGAAATAGCACTGTTGTTCTGAAACACGTTTGATAGTGTTCCAGCACCTACCAGATGGTGAACACGTTTCCACAACCTGAACAAAAGCCAGCTTGCTACTGATGAATTAGTACGTAGAAGTACAACAGCAGTCAGTATTTTTTTTGCAAGTGGTAATACACAATAATCCGATGACTGACAAGTGCATTACCTAGCCAATTTTTATACATAGACAAGATGGTCGCTTGACTCCAGTGACGAGACACAATCTTCAATACCCTCTTGAATAAACTAGTCGGTTCCAGGGCTAGTGTCGCCACCACCTTAAAAATGGACTGCGGCTAACTTGCCTAGGTTGTCTTTCGATGCATCAGTAACTGGAGTCCCCTTGGACCACCATTTCATTAGGCATATCGGTGATAATCTATGAGAAGGAACTGACTTAGAACAGGGAATAACAGCGCTTTTTAAGCTTGAATGTTATTTGCTAATTCGCATGTCATCCTCATACTACACAATGGAAACTCGCCCTGTAGAATACGGATGAATTGGAAGAACGTCTTCTGATTATTATCCAAAATTACAAGTTTCACATTAACGATACAATTTTCGACCCAACATAAGCGAACGGGTTTATTAGGGAATACTTACACACTCGCATAAAACGAAGGAAACTTTCAACACTTATAGAAAAATAGCTGGTGATAAGACAACAAGTGAAGAAGTGGAACAGAAGATCAAGACGCATTTTGAAGCAAAGATATACTTCCAACATGCTTATTGGAAAGGCCAAAAGTATGCGAAAAATCTAAGTCTTCCTGAGGCTTTTCCGACTGATGATTGTGATGACTGGGAATTTCAAACACTAGTTTGAAAACTTCTACAGAATTCACAAGTTTTTTTACTTAATCTGAGACCTTCACCAGAATGAAAACTGTGAGAGGATTTGGAGAAGACGCAGCATTCTGCCCCCGAACCTACCAAATTCCACCAAGCAGTTTTATTTGCGTTATAAGCATTACTATCAATACTCAGTCATTTGCAAATAGTTCTAACTGGGATTTATACGAAATCCCAGTGGATAGCCTCTAGTTTTAATGTCAGAAATTAAGGTGAAATGCAAGAGACCTCCTTTAAAAATGGAAAGATTAACAAAATAGCACATTAACATATTAAGCTGACTGATAAACAGAGGGGACTCTCACCACGAGGAAAACGTGCAGCGATATGCTGATGCAAGCGTTTACATGCAAAATTAGATGCTCTCGATCCTCCATGTCCATCAAAAACACCAAAGTACCCCACTCTTCCACTGGAAATAATTAGTTCACAACTTATATCAGCTTGATTACATTTCACTTGAGACTCCTCGGCACATGAGCTGCATCAAGTCGTCCATCAGTATATGAGCATCCTGCATTTCTGGCCTTTCCCCTTTTCTGGCGATAACTGAATATATAAGAGGAAAAAGTTCTTAGGAATGGATATCCGATATCACTCAACACCTTACCCACACATGATCCAGATTTAATTCCACTAGCTGAAGGTGTGTCATCTGATTGTTCTAACTTGTCTTTAATATCAGTGAAAACTGGAAAAAGTGACCATACTTGATTCGTCACTGTCTACAGAAGGTTCGGGTAAATCATCGAAAAGACTCATTTATTTAGCCACCGCCACGATGGTCAAGGGCATTCAATACCCAATATCCATCCCCCTTCAACTTCAGCAGCCATTATAAAGCAGTTTAAACTCTTTGAGCTTGCTTTTCGAGGTGATGAACAGCTCCTTGATTTGATGTATATATATCACCAGTACCTCCTGAAATTACCTTGTAACGCCTCAAATATATTTGTGCGTTGAATTTAGTAGTTTTAGCTGGTGGACTGATTAAATTTGTAGCACATTTCGTCATCAGTGTTAAGCCCGCTAACGGTTTATTAGTTCAGTTGTGATAATGAAAACAATAATGATAGTAAAACTGAGGTAAACGGTGCGTCTACTTTAGTTTAACATAACTGTAAGCATCTCAGTGAGATATATTGAATGCAGTGAAATTGTTGTAATTTTATTGTCGGGATGAAACTTTAGTCACACTATGATGCTTGACGAAGCCACTCTGAGTAACGAAATGGGTGTGTGGGGATGCATATTTGATCCTATTTGAGTTATTTTGATAACGGAAGCATTCCAGAATCGCTTGTTCAGACTTGCAAAGTACTTATGTCTGTAGCCATAGATTATTACCTCAAATTATTAGCCTACAGCACCCATCGCTCAATACTGGATACTAATCTTCACTGTTTAAGCTGACTTTTTTAACTGGTGTCTCGCACTCAAGCATCCAATCCACTTGCCACGCCGTCATTTTACGTCTGGTTGTTCGTCCGCGATCCCTAGCTAGTTGAGTAGTCATTTTCACACTACCATTTTCTGGTCCCGAAATATATTTTGTATTTTGGACGAACAACTTGATGTTTTGATTTGTCTTTGATCTTTGTGCAACGAGCACTATAGGAGTTGTGGGTGTAAGATTTTGCGTTAGTATACTTCGTAACATCCGTGAACGTCATCTCACCCTCAGCTTTTACAGGTCTGTCCGAATCTCATCCACACTTCTTGTAGCTGAATAAAGCTTCACGTCATCAGTGTGAAGATACGCCAGTCAGCCCAAATACAGCGGATGGAAATGAATAATTAGTGAAAACATTAAGAAGTTACACAGGTCAGTCCACGACGTGATATGTAACAGAAGTTAACTCTCACATATAATCTCCTTCCATGATGGATCGTACACTTTAGTCTAGTTTATCTTGCGGAGAAGATGGTACTGAATGCCCCCAGAAAAGCGAGGAAGACAATTCGGACATGAATGGCATTTGACCTTGAAAACTGGGGAGAGAATTACTTTTCGCAGTACCTCAAGACAGATAACTAGTAACATCATGATCAGTGAAACCCCGTGAGCTGAGTTTCGGCAGTTCGCTTTGAACCACTCTTGGACTTAAGTGGAATGAACCATTTAGTAGCTCATCTCACCTGGGATCTTGACTACTCACTGCTTTGCTATATGTCACCTCATGGCTTGTATTTGATTTTGTTATAGAGGTTATTACCATGCACGCCATTTGGTTGTTAGACTTTCTCTAAGACATAAAGGCAGTATGATTTCTACGGATTCATCGGAATATTTTGTTCCAGTTTCACCCATAACGATCTCTTTTTCTTCAGAAGCCTGACGTTCCGTCAATTACTTGTGAACTGTGGTCGGTCTGTAACTTTTATAGTTTCTCCTCATACTGATCTTTTCGTTTGGCTTGTAGTGTATTCATGGCACCATTGCTGAAATTACTTTTTGGCTGTGCAGATACCAGGGGGCACTGCATGCGATCTCTGTGTGGACCATTCCTACATGCTATGAAATTAAGAATGTTTGAAAACATTCTCAGAAGTCATTTGGAGCAGTCGGTTGTGAATTAAGAGAATGCATAGTAATAAATAACTGATTATTCGGATAGTGCGTACTCAGTACTGGTTAGTTTGAGCGGGAGGTCTATGAAGGTATAGTTTACTTTGGGCAATAATTTATGAATCTCTTCACGCATAGAAATTTCAAATTGTAACTGTTGATTCGCTGGTAGCAATAATGGTCTGTTTGTGTCACAAATACTGCGTAACTTGTGACTTCCATCATTTGTTTAACATTAAAGGGTTGGGGGAAACGTTTCTCGGAGACAATCAAGTCTCGACTTTTCTCCCTCAACAAAACGCTAGATTACGCTCAATATATTACGCAAGAGTTCCTTAGATCCAATTGAAAACCATAATAGTAAATGATTTTAAAAGTTTTTTGGAAATTATTTACTTCTACTTCGTTATTTTATTGTCAATGTCATCCTTTCTTGATGATATGGCAGCTATCAGATGGCCACGAACATGCATGACATAATAGTAAAATGACATAAAATTATAAACCTTCAACCTCCCCTACTCAACTTGACTGCAGAACAATTAACAGGTCAAACAGAACAAGCTTTACCGTCCAAAACACCGACTCATAATGTTGTGTGTTAATGTGAGGATTGTGTGTAAACATTCGAATGTAAAATGGTAGCGTTGTATGGAGAGGATGCTGTGCATTCAGCCTACCCACCTGACGGAAACAGTAGATGTTAGAACCCAGTGTTAACTCAGAATAGAAGCTGCAAGTGTACAATTATAAGCAACTATCTACCTCTGTGTTGTTCCTTAAAGCAAACATTGGGTATTCGTGGTGCATAATCGCCCTCCGAAATAAAGTGAATGCTTGTTCAGGTGAAGAAAAAGAGTACGTCTCCAGCCGGTCTTGAGCTGCATTACTGCCTATCGAGAAGTTTCTTTTGCATGTCATTTAATTAACCTGTCTTGAAATATCCAGACAATGCGTTTATGTAAATAAATCTATTCATAAATGGATTAGAATACCGTGGAAAAACAGAGATTATTTGATGGAATATGTTGTGTGGCAAACTAGTACAGAGATTCAACCACTGTGCCAGTTGCTCATCATCATCCTCGCACAGTTTTAGATAATTTTTCTTCCTTCTCCCGTTAATTTTGCAAAGCAGATAAAACTGAAAGAAAAGAAGGTCAACTTTTAGTTGAAAAGGATTCTTGCTGTAAAATTGGTGTGCATATTAATTCGGTGATTCGTTCCCTATTAAATATATACATAACTGCAGACAGACGTCATTCACGGAATTCCTTTATCAAGGCAACACTCTATGTATGCAAAGTAAATGATACAACTTCAGTGTCATCCAAGTGCTCCAATTGAATCAGAAGAAAAACACGCCAACAGGCCGGTTCCCGGGGAATCGGCCAACTAGTTCGTAGGATAACTCCTCAACCGACAGCCCACATCACGTCAACTACCCCTCCAATACAGGGACGTGGTGAGACTGACTACCAGTTGCCTGTACAGTAATGTGAGAGGGCTAAGAGGCAAAATAGCTGAACTTAGACACCTACATTCACAGCTGAACTCCAAGATCATAATACTGACGGAAACCTGGCTAACCCCTACGGTGGCAGACAGCGAAGTCAGTATAAATGATATGGTCCAAGTCAGGCGAGATAGGGATCTGAAAGAGGGAGGTGGAGTCGTCATATACGTCGACAAACAGCTCAGATGTGTCCCTGCAATGGACCCTCCCCTCATTGAGCTCTCTGACTCCATATGGTGCCATTTCACCGTTGGGTACTGTAAATATATAGTGGACAGCATTTATAGATCACCTTCATGTGGAGCAGACCACAACCAGGTACTGCTGAATGCAATTTCAGCGACACAAGACATGGGTTAAGATCAAATTATCATAGCTGGAGAATTCAATGCCCCATCTCTTAACTTGATGACGGGATATGCCCATGATAGATTTGATCGAAATCTGCTGCATAACATCAGGGAGGCCGGATTCACTGAAAATGTCAGAATGGATACTAGATTTGGCCCAGATGGGAAGTCTTCTAGACTGGATTATGTGCTCACTAGTGACCAGCTACTAGTGGAAAACGTTCAGATCACGACTCCCATAGGTAGTAGTACCCACGCGGTCATAACATTCGACATAGTCCTCCGCTAGCGTTTACAGTGGGACAATACACAGCCCTATCTGTGTTATAACCAAGCTAATTACACCGAAATGCGAAGACTTTTGTCAGAAACAAATTGGCCAAAAAATTGGACAGAGCTTACAGTAGAAGAACACTGGGGAGTGGTAAAGGAGATCATTCACCAGGCGGTCTCAGACACTGTTCCTTTAGTCACACCAAAAGCTAGGAAGCAACGTTCATGGCTAAAAAGGGGGATACAACGCCTTCTACAGGCGAAGCGAAAAGCCTGGTTTGCGTGGCGAGTATCGAAGAGCCAACCCGAACATGAAGTGTACCTCGAACTCAGGAATCGGTGTACCATACGAGTCCGGAGTGATAGAAGGACATTTCAGAGAAACCTCGCCAATAAGCTTCTCGTGAACCCCAAAAGCCTATACAGGTTTATGTCTGAAAGAAAACCGACCAACCAGGGAGCTTGCAATCTAGTGGGTTCTGATGGGAAATCTCTTACTAGTCTTGAAATGGCAGAGACATTCAATCTAGCCTTTCACAGGCAACTGAACAGTAACGAGGATTTTACCCCCACAAAACATCAAGATTACAATGCAAGACCAATGTGCGAAAACCTGCTGGGTACATTTCAAATTACCCCGGCTATGGTACTCGTAAAATTGGGAAAGTTGGCTTCGGAAAAGTCTGCAGGTAGCGATTACATAAGACCATCCGTCCTGAAGCAGTGTTCAGAAAGTTTCTGCCAACCCCTAAGTGATCTGTCTCAACACTCCTTTGATGTAGGGAAACTTCCATGTGAATGGAAACGAGCCATCCTATCCCCTATCTTCAAGGGTGGTGATCGGCAGAACGCGACCAGTTACAGACCAGTTGGACTACTCCCAGTGATATCGAAGATATTGGAAAGTCTCATTGACGACCACATGAGAAAATACTTCGATGGGACTAACCTACTTCATGAAGGAC